AGAGTTAATCTATTCAGCCATTATACAAAACCTTGAAATTAATCTTCTAAGTAGTCATTTACACTATTCTTTTAAATGTATTTTTTTATTTCAATTGATAGTTTATTATAAATTTGCACGCACATGTAGTTCTAAACTGTGTAGTGATCGATGGTTTTACTGACAATTACTAAACTTTTCTTCTCAATAAACTACCGTAGTAAATTATTTTCTAGTTATACATCAAGATAATACGTAGAAAAAACACAACACAATAAAATCATGGGATTTAGTGAGAGAGATATCTACACTCCTCGTGTATTATCTATAAGTACTTAGTTACGTTTTCACATTTATATGGCGAACGGCTATAGAGTGGAATTCCCCGCCTGTTGACGTATTTCCTGAATGCTATAACTTGTGCCTTTGCAAGGCGAGAGTGAATAAGATTATTTAGGTGGTCCATCGTTGACCTCATCGTCACTTTCCATTAGGTGAGATGGAGGTCAAATGCGCATTTATATTCCTATACAAAAAAAGCTGAAATCACATCAATGGCAATTGTTACGGATTGGCAAGTCAATTGATCAAATCAAATAAAATGTCTTTATTTCGAAGGTAATCAAGTTACACTTGAAACCATCATATTAAATCCAAAAATCACTACTACTTAGAAGGTCAATTTTACCTGAGAAGAAAGATTTTTTTTTTTTGTATCATCACCAGAGATCGGAATAGGTGGACTTTTTACCTAAACTTCGAGGAATAAAGACAGAAAATGGAGACAGCCTTACGACAATATTTTTTTAGGTCCTGGATCTTTTCGGGATTCGGGACATCACTTAAGAACATTAAAAATTGACGTAATTGGGGACAGTTAGGTATACTACATTTATCTTAACTTTGCGACGCACAGTGGGTCGGATCTGCGATATTGCGGACGTTGGGTTTTTGTTTCACGATATCTCTCTAAAAACATGCCAATCGAGGATCCTATTGTCCTAATTAAATATTGTTAAATCACATTTTAGGAAATGAAACTAATTTTCCGGATTTAAATCGCGTATATTTGTTTTTTCAAACAAACCGACGTTTCGGGCCCTTTACAGGACCCATGATCACGGTTGACTGTCAACCTCAGTCAGTCAACCTCAGTGTAACAATCGCGAAAACCTAAGAACTCGATAAATCACATTTTGCCATAAATCTGATAGTTTAGTAGGAAAAAAATAAAATGTGTATTTTTTGTATGGGACCTTTAGTGCCGCATCGTTACAAAGTCGATCCAGTCTTGGAATCACTACAGACGTATTATTAAACCTATCTTCTATAGATGTGCTCACTAAACGCGCGCCCAAATCTACCTATTCACTACTTATACGCATCAGAAAATGTGCAATATAAGTATATGAGTTGTATTCAACCAATAATCGTATTTATGAGCAATTTTTGCGCGAGCGCAGGGCGCAGTGACAGTGCCCCCTTTTTTTTACGGGGGGAAATCTTTATAGATACCCCGGGAGTCCGGGGAGACTCAGGGGTTATGTGGGGACTCTACCTCCAGACTGGAGGGCCTACCCCACTAAAACCCCCCCGAGTTTACCTCCCGCCGGTTGAGTCGGCGCCGTGGGGTCGGCAGTGGCAGTGCCCCTCAGATCTCTGCAATTTAAAGGTCTAAGTGGCATTGTAACTGTTATGGACAGGCGTATAGTTTACCATCAGACTTGTTCGTTCCGTCACAGGTACAGGTAAAGTAGAAAAGACAATAAAAGGTTAAATAGGTACAAGAAAGTAAAACTTGGATTTTTTAATTATATGAATAAAATTGAGTCCCCGCGGCAAGGTGCCTTTTTTGCCGCTTTGTATTGCTATGCTAATACGTTGGGCAAGGTAGCTTAGCCGGCGCTTGGGTTTCCCAGACAGTCTATTAATTTTTTGGATAGAATTTTGTACAGATGAAGGGCACTGGGACCCCACGGGCTAAGGGTTTCGACTCCAAAGGCTGTAAATAGGTAGTAGGAGCCGAGATCTTGGTTCTAATTACTTTTTATTCTTTCCGCCAGCTCAGCTGCGGAGCCAGCCGTCTTCCTGGTGTGCTGGAGATGGGATGGGGCAAGTGTGTCACCAGTGCCCGGCCTATACTCTAAGGGATGAGAGTCTTGTTTTTAATATTATAAAAAAATATTATTATTTCCTCTACTTTTATAATTAGTACATTTTTAAAATGAGCTTTAAACATTTTTTCTGATAAATTTTGTATAATTATTGGAATTTTATTATAAAGACTGTACAATGCCCTACAAATGACGAGCTAACTTTAGTAGTTTGTAGCATAGGGGTCGCAAGTTTTTTTTTGATAATTGATATTATTAAAAATAATTATGAACCTCTAAATATTGTTATATTTAGAGATGGAAAAAAACTACTTAAAACACCGTACATTGCGGACTTCGTCACTAATAATGACACTTTGCTGGTCGTAACCCTAAAGGAACAATATTGGCAAAGTATAACAATCATGTAATTGAATTTGAAAACAAATTGTGGTTCGCCCTTCGCTCTTCCCACGTCGCGGTCTCTCCCAAAGGTCCCCAGAGTCCACTCTGATTACTTAACTATTCTATGTATGTTGGTTGCATTTATGAGGAAGTCAATTTAATAGTTCGCAGTCTTGATGTAACAAGGTTACATCTGCAAAATCACATCTTTTCAGGAGAGATATAAAAATCCTAAGAACGAAATGAATTAGTAAAGTTTTTATGCTTCAATTAAAATTCAAATTCATCTTTATTTCATAGGTAAACAAATTACACTTGAAATCGGCATATTACACACACGACAGTAATCATCTGGCAGGGGAACTTCAACATATAAAGCAAGTCCTACATGCGAATAAGTTGAAGATTCCACGCCAATGCCGCAGGCCCCGTGTGAAACCACCAACAGTCGAGCGAAGACCTGCCATCTTACCTTACGTGAGAGGTGTTACAGACAAGATCGGAAGAGTCCTCCGGCGCGCATCTATCAAGACCTATTTCAAGCCCCTGAGGAAGATTTCTCAGTTCCTGAGACCCGTGAAATGTAACATCCCCTTACAGTATGCAGGAGTTTACAAGCTTGACTGTGAGTGCGGTCTCTCTTATATTGGACAAACAAAGCGAAGTATTTGTATCCGCGTCAAAGAACATATAGCTGATGTCAAACACCGTCGCGTAAACAAGTCTGCAGTCTGCGAGCATGTCATGGATAAACCTACACATTCAATGAAGTTTGACCAACCCCAGGTCCTTGCAAAAGAAGTCCGTTATCTACCCAGGATGCCGCGAGAGGCCATTGAAATTAAAAAACATCCTAATTTCAACAGGGACGATGGTTTCTTCGTACCACCAGTTTGGGATCCAGTATTTCCTCTAATGAAAAATCCGAAATAGACATAAGACTGCAGTACTAATGAATATGTTTTAGTTTATTCTAATTTCTATTAATAATTAATAAAAATTCATTCAATAAAATAATTTGTAAAAGTTAATATAGCGTAAATTGGAATGTTTTCTTTGTAAAATTAAAAATAAGGTATTTAATTAATAACTATTGTAACTATAGTGAAAAAATAGGGTGGTTTGCATTAATATTAGACATAACTGGTTGAAGACTGTACCACCTCAGTCAACCGTGACCATGGGACCTGTAAAGGGCCCGAAACGTCGGTTTGTTTGAAAAAACAAATATACGCGATTTAAATCCGGAAAAATAGTTTAATTTCCTATGTGTAACAATTGCGAAAACCTATTACATTTAATTTGTATCATTATATTTAGTATTGTTTTTATGATTTTCATGTGATAAAACCACTTTTAACACATGTGACTTTGCAATGGCACGAATTTTAGAATTGTAACTTGTTTAGAAAGGCGGAATAATCATTATTATGAAACCATTTATTTACTACACGAAACATTGAACGCAATTTATTCAAATGACATAAAAATTACAACAATTACAATCACTGTGTGGCAAGGGGAGCAAGCTGAGAACACACTGTGTAGAGCATACGCGCATACACCGCACTGATTTTCAGCATGTCTCCGCTGTTATATAAAACACGCGCACAAAAAGCGTAAACTAAAATTGAAAGTAATGAAATGCACAACACATACATTTATACCAGTAGTGATTAACAAAATATAGCAACTAACTATACATGTATAACTATATAATACTAATACCAATAGAGATTATTATCGATACTAGAAGAATAATATCAATAGGGATGTGCACTAAGGTTAATAATAAACTATTTTTATACTATTACACTAGAGGCATGCTTCCTTCTTTTTGTAACTTCAAAAACTTTCAAATCAAACACTATTCGATACGGAATAAAACTTATTTTAATTTTTAATAGCAGTAGAGCTCCGTATAAAAGAATTCGTCCAGGGAAGTACTGCCACGTATTTCGAGCAAGCCAAGCAGTAATGTGGGCGTTACTGCGTTCCGGTTTTGAAGGGTAAAGGTAGTTGGTAGTGAAATTACAGTCACATGTGACTTGGTAACTTATGGGTCACAGTGATGGGTGCAGCGGCGGTACAACTCAGCTCTTTGTGATTTAAAGCCCTGAGTGGCACTGCAACTGTTTTGGATAGTCTTGTCGCTTACCACCAGGCGCACGACTTGTTCGTCCTGTCACTATGTGTAATATTAAAAAAAAAACGTACTTTACGTCACGTGTTTCTATATCATTGCCAACACGTGTAGCTCTCCGTATTGAGTTCAAAAAACTAGTTAATATTATTCTATAACAGAAAATTTCGCAGACGTGTACGTGCGTAGTTACAATGCATCATGGTAGAAAACGTGACCAGATGCCGATACAAAACTACGTAGCAATATACTACGTAAACTCCAGACCGAACCTCTGATATCCCGCATGCCCTCAACAAGTGAAAGGGCAGCTGCGGCGGCGCGGCGGGGGCGGCGAGAGGGGAATAAAACAAAGTACCCTATCCCTCCTTATTCATTCCCTCTTCGTCGTTCGGAGCGTGCACACGCTGTGTTGAAAAGCCAACTTGTTCACGCGATCACAAAAGTTTTCTTTCGATTCGAATTTGGCTACCGTGTTTTGTTTTTGATCTCTTGGCGTTTGTGACAATGGTGCTGGCTGAGTTTTTGACAGAAACCAGAAGGCGATGGTTGAAGGTGAGATTTTTTTAAAGTTTTATTTGATTTCTTGACTTATTTGGAATGTGATGGTTCTCATCGAGTTAATTTATTGCAAGTTGATTTTGCTGTTTCCAACTTAGGATAGTGATGTACTCTACTTGTGTATAAAGCGGCTGCTATTTTGAAAGTATCACAAACACGTGTTTTTAATAAACGTGGATAGAGTCTAGTTAAGTATCATATCGTATTTTATCCCTAAATCTTCAAATATCATTATTTAAGAGTCCCTTAAGATGGTGGATTGCGACCTAAATCTAAATTAAGATATGTATCTACCGTTTAAGTTAATGAGTCGATATTACTCCATGATAGTTAAGACTGGTGGTATTTCAGGGGGAGACGGTTTTTTCTCAGCTGAGAGGGCGACGGTTTGATACCTTAAGGCATTGTCTATGACTTTTTTAATTTCAATTTACGTACATTACAAGTACAAGTGCTTAATACTTCACGTTAATATCATAACCCTTAAAAAAGTCTGAAATTCTTGAAAACGTGGCGGACTGTGACCTAAATACTTTCCTTCATAGTGATGATAATAAAAAGCACTAAATCGAGTTCAAAAAGACGATCCTCAATTCGACAGTAATTTTTTGTGTATATGTAACGCGATTACACAGCCATATTTTGTGAACTGATTTTGATGATTCTTTTTTTGTTAGAAAGGTGGTACTTCTGTAGTGATCTATTTTAAATTTGAAGAAAATATGCCACCTCTAAGGGTGGCAAATTTTGAAGATGAATCCGGTGCATTGGATTTCATTATTACATTCCGTGAACCGATTTCAGTAAAACTTTGCAAGTGTATGCAATTCCACAAAATTTGAAATTTTTTTTTTATATAAATAAAGTTTTAATTATAAGTCTAATTATAATTCAAAGATAACACAATTCGTATTGCGCATAATTTCAATTAAATTGTGTGACGAAAAATTCACTAAGATCGTGTTTACATATTTAATGCGTTATTCATCACGGGTTATCAGTAAGATAAAAAGTGGCAGGTAAATACGAATCACGTAATGTTATGTACACATTATTATTATGTACTTGTGCGAAATCTTCTGACTAAATAAAACTGCAGACATACATTAAAATAATAAATTCTTCATGATAAATAATTGTTTTTTTTTTTATTTTTGAGAGCTGGACTCTTGGCAGTCCTCGTGCGTGGTACAATAGTTACTTATTTTAGTAATAGTTACATTAAATGTTATTATAATCGTATTACTTAGACGTAAAATAATAAAACATTAAAATAACTTCATTCCTATTGCATATAAAACAAAATAAATAGTATTTCATTTACTGGCTACATTTAAGAAGAACACAAAAACTAATAACATAAAAACAATTTGGTTACGAGCCTTACAGCTACATAAATTTGTCATTAATTTTTATATAATCTAACACTTCTGTCGTTCATGCCTGACTTTATTTTGGTAAAAAAAATTGTTTACGAAAACATTTTTTTACCAATCAATGATCGATTCTTCAATTGCTACCCATTCGCTGTGTTCCCGGTTAACAGTAGAACGTGTATGAGTGTAGCAGTAATCAACTAAAACTATAAGTTTCATAAAAGACTAAGTAACAAAATTTTTGTACTTTTAAAATATTTATTATAATAAATAGAGACACTGAATGCATATTTGAACAAAAATTGAAGAAGAAAAAAATATAGCTACTGTAGTTGTCAATGACAAATACCGACCCCAAAAATTCGAGGAATTGCATTAATGTGCCAAGTTTTGTTAAAATCGGTAGTAACATACAAAAAAAAGTACAGTCACATTGAGAATCTTGTTCTTCCCTCATAATACAATGCAATATAATATAGTTTTGGAAGAAAATCCTAGAGATAGCTAGGAGCGTGTACAAAAATGTAACTAATGCGGAGAAGCTGAATATTTTATACATCTACCCTTACGCTTCGGACAAATGAAGCGAAAAAAAGCTCCTGCGCAATTACAATCGACAAATTGAAACATAAAAGCGCTGGACATTTAGGGCGACAAATGAGACGAGCTGTTATTGCGACGTATTTTCTATTGCAATCGGTTTCAATACAATATTTTTTTTTTAGTTACGTTTTAAGTTTTAACCACTGTTTTAAAATATTTACATCCACGAATTCTTAGGTTTTCTAAAATATTTGATATTGAAGCAGTATGTAGTTGCGACAGGTATGTGTGGACTTATGGTTGAAGCCAATTTGCCACCCCAGGTGGCGTCATTTCACAAGATTGAATTTAAAACAGTTTCGAAATGGCGCCTTCGGCCTTTTTACGAAACACCGACGACATTACTATTTGCACTTGCAATGAGCAGTCCCATGTAATTCTAGCTGCTAAACTTCTTTTACAATTAGACAAAAATCCTACAAACCTCACTTTTCTTGATGATTTTCCCGTTAAAGAACTCGAGTGAAATCAATTAATGAAAGTAAAAAAACCTATCTAGAAAGACGGAAGACAGAGAAGCTGTCGTGAGCAAACTCCATTATCCTTACAATACATCCATTACACTTACCGTAATGAGAGATGACGATTTATTAATTACTGTTTGTGTTCACTACATCTCCAGTTTAAGTTGAGCTCTGGTAATTTTACGATTCAAAGTCATTATTAAGTATAAAGCAAATAATATGTCAATATCTAATTTGTTTTAAAATCCTATAAAGGAATAACGGTGCTGGGCTTTCTCTATTTGTATTCATTGTCTTGTTTTAAATAAATCTTTGTAGTTCTGATGAACGTACATAATAGAGCTATCGTCTGGGTCATGACTGGACTGGTCGAACACAATCTAGGATGTTTATTAATGCATTTCAAAGAAAATCCTAATCATTTATGTTCTAACTACACAAATGTTCTAAAGAATTTATGGAAGGAAATTACTTTATAGCGTATTCTCATCGTTATATATAAATACATTCGCACATGACACAAAATACTGACGTAACTCAAAAATGTTGGAATTGAGATAACACGATTTGAAAGCTCACAAAATTACTGAATGGAACGAATGAATTTGAATTCTCGTTTATAAGTGGATAACTAATTATTATGTTTAAACAAAAATTATCTCATTATTCGCAATAAGATTATTTATAAAAAAAAAGTCGCTAAAAACCAAAAACAAGATTCTGCAACGAACACATGGAAAAATTCGTGAGGTCCGTTGGTTTGTTCCGTTGCTTAGTTGGCATAGCGTCTGGTGCGGTTTGCTAGGAGACGTTTGGTTCGAATCCAACCGGATCGAAGTGGTGAAACATTCCGACATACAATAAAAACTTTATTAAGATTATTTCCTTTTTTATTTATTATTTACAAATAGTGTTTTCTCAGTTAAACCATTTTTGAGTTACGACAGTATTTAGTTTCTTGTGTGTATTATCACTGTCACGTTGCCAAATCTGAAGGCACTAGAAGCCCAGTGGAACAACGGTTACTACACTAGTTTTAGTAGAAGTAGAGCTCCTTGTGAAAGATTTCGTCCAGGAAGTACTGCCACCTTATTTATTTCTGCCGCCAAGCGGTGCTGTTGAAATTACAGGCACGTGGTACTTGTCAACTTACTTTTCATTGTGACGGGCGCAGTGATAGTACCCTCAAATCTTTGTGAATTGCGACTGTTGTTGGTCTCTTCACTTGGTATCATAAAAAAAAGTCGGAATCTTCTTAAACATTTATGTTACATCATTTCGCATTTATAAGCAATTATTTTTGAAGAACGTTACGTCATGCCGATAGTAATTTTTGTTGAATGAAACTCATACAGAAAATATATTGGAGTAAAATTGTATCGAGTCTGTATTGCGCAATAATTTTCGCCCACACGTCGCGAAACTGAAATTCAGGAATTTCCACGGTGTATACACATCCATCTAAGGTGTAACGTTTTAGCTCGTCAATCTCGACTTTCGAATATACATACAGGGTGGTGGGTAAAGCGTAAAAAGATAAACTAATGACGATGTAATGTTATCGTTCTAAATGTGTAAAAGTTTATTTAAATATTTCGTTGTTGTACTACCAGGATATTCGATTATTTGTTTATGAAATTACTTTACTGGACCGTTATAATAATAATGGTGGTTATTGTTTCGGACAGTATTTGTTATTATGATACTGTCAAGAATAAAACAATATATAATAACAACTACAGAACTGATGTGGGCAAGGCCAGCCTTATCTCTAAGAGCGATCTCTTCAGCTAAACAGAGTGAAAGTCGTAGTGTGCAACGGTAAAATTTAAAATGCATTAATTAATAAATATATCTAAATAAACTTGTACTCACTAATAAATAAACATGTCTAGTAGGAAAACCTATTGCAAACAGTGAAAAAAACGTTGTGAAGAAATCTGCGTGTCGTTAGAGGAGACCCATAACCAGCAATAGAATGTACATTGGTTGATGATTATGATGAAATAAATAATAGAAAAATAAGAGAACTCAAAAACAGACAAAAACTAGGCTTACTTATAATGTTAACAGATTACTACAATAAAAAGTACTGCGTTATTAATCTGTTTTTAACTGACTACAAAAAATGAAGAGGTTCTTAATTTGGCTATATTTTTTTGTGTGTGTGTGTTATGCAATTACTCCGATATGTGAGAACCGATTTCGATGATTTTTTTATTGGAAAGGGGGTACCTCATTAGTGGGCCCATTCAAATTTGAAAAAATATTCCACCTCTAAGGGTGACAAATTAGGGGATGAATTCGGTTGAATGGATTTCACCCACTTTCCCTTAATTTGAATAAAAGTAAATGTATAATCCCACAAATTTTTGAGGTCGGTTTTTTTTATATAATAAATATAATAGAAGAGATAATTATTGATTATTACATTGGTATACATACCACCTAAATGTTATTAATGACTTATCCCTTGTCAAAGTTAGGTATATCGATAAGTTTTGTTATTTATTGTCGACGCCTATCGGGGAGGAAACGAGACCTGGGTACT